GCATTTATCAATGTAACATCTGAAAAAAGAAAAAAATATCTACACATTTCTCTATGTAGTTTTCGTGAACTTAGTTTTACTTCCATATTACTAATTGTGTGTGTGTGTATGTGTGTGTGCGAATTTCAGTTCTATAACATGCTGCTTCTTTTATTGTGATAAGAACATTTAACATGAGATCTACCCACTTAAATTTTTTAGTGTACAGCACAGTATTGTTAATTACTGCTTGTTAACAGATAAATATTGGCCATTATAAATTTAGTTACATTTTAACTATTTTTTAACATCTTCATTGAAATATAATCAACATCATGCAATTCACCCATTTAAATGTACAATGTAATGGCTTTTAGCATAATCACAGATATGTACAGCCATCACCACAGCCAATTTTAGAACATTTTCTTTGCTCTAAAAAGAAGCCCATACCCTTTAGCTATCCCCTACTATCCGTATGTCCCAACTCTAAGCCAGTAATCTACTGCCTAGCTCTATACATTTGCCTTTTTGGACATTTTATATAAATGGAATCATATAATGTATATTCTTTTGTGACTGACTTCTTTCACTTAGCGTAATGTTTTCAAAGTTCACCTGTGTTGAAGCATATATCAGTATTTCACCTCTTTTTATTGCCAAATAATATTCAAGCTTGGACATATACTTTGATTATGCTTTCACTAACTGATGGATAATTTTCACTTTTTCACTATTATGAATGATGGATTATGGATATAAACATTCATGAACAAGTTTCATATGGACGCATGTTTTCACTTCTCTTGGGTATATGTAGAGGAGTGAAATTGGTGGATTATATGGTAACTCTATGTTTAACCGTATGAGGAATTTCCAGACTGCTTTCCAAAAGGGCTGCATCATTTAACATTCCCACCAGCAGTCCATTAGTGTTCTAATTTCTCCACAGCCTCACCAACTCTTAATATCATCTGTCTTTTTGATTATAGTAAGCCTAGTGGGTGTGGAATGGTAGCTCATGTTTTTAATTTGAATTTGATAATGACTAGTGATGGTGAGCATCTTTTCATTTGTTTATGATTTGCATATCTTTTTAGGAGAAATGCTTATTTAAGTTTTTGTCCATTTAAAAAAGCAGGAGATCTGTCTCCATGTTGTTGAATTGGAAGATTTTAAAATGTATATTCTGGGTGCTAGACCCTAATCAGATGTATGATTTGGGAATATTTTCTCTCATTCTGTATGTTTTCCTTTCACCCTCTGGAGACTGTTCTTTGATGCACAAAATACTTTTAATTTTGAATTTCAATGTATCTGGGTTTTTTTTTTTTTTTGCTTGTGTTGTAGGTGTTATATCAAAGAATCCATTTTCAAATCAAAGTGATAAAGATTTACTCCTGTGTTTTTTCTAAGTGCCTTATAGTTTAACTCTTATATTTAGGTCTGCAATCTATTCTGAGTTAATTTTTGCACATGATGTGAGGTAGGAATCCAGCTTTATTCTTTTGTACCAGTTGTTGTAGCACCATTTGTTTCACAGGCTACGGTCTTTCTCCAGAATGGCCCTGGCACCCTGGTTCAAAATCAATTGACCACAAGGGTATGAGTTTATTTCTGGATTCTCAATTCTATTCCAATGGTGCAGATGCTAACTGTATGCCAATATCACACTATCTTGATTAAGTAACTTTGTAGTGTGTTTTAAAATTAGGAATGTGAGGCCTCCAACTTTTTTTTCCAAGATTTTCTTAGCTTTGTAGTCACTTGCAATTTCATATGAATTTTAGAATAAACTTATCCATTTCTACAAAAAATGGTCTTTGAGATTTTGATAGAGATTACTTTGAATATTTAGTTTGTTTTGAGGCATATTGCTATCTTAATTATATTGTCTTTTCCATTTACTTAGATCTTCTTCAATTATTTACAGCAATATTATAGTTTTCTGAGTATCAGTCTTGTACCTCCTTGGTTAATACTTATTACTAAGTATTTTATTCTTTGTATTGCTTTTCTAATTGGGATTGTTTTCTTAATTTTATTCTTGTTTTATTTATTGAAAGTACACAGATACACAAATGATTTTTGTATATTGATTCTGTATCTTGCAAAGTTGCTGAATTTATTCGTTACCTATAATAGTATTTTAGTGGATTCCCTAGGATTTATATACAAGGTGGGGGAAAGTAAGTTTACAGTTGTTTGTATGAAAAAAAAATGCAGGTTAGATTATTATAATAGCTCTATTAATTCTGTGTTCTGAGTATTCACAGCTGTAAACCTACTTTAGCCCCACCCTGTATATTTAAGATTATGTTCTTAGAGAATAGAGACAGTTTTACTTATTCCATTCTGATATGGATGCCTTTTTTTTTCCTTCTTGCCTGGCTAGAACCTCCAGTGCTATGTTAAATAGAAGTGATGAAGACCACTATTTCCCTCTTGTTTCTGATCTTAAGGGGAAAATATCCAATGTTTCAACATTAAATTTGATGTTAGCTGTGTGTTTTTTATGCATGCCCTTTATCAGGTTGAGGAAGTTCCCTTCTATTCTTAGTACATTATGTGTGTTTGTCATGGAAGGATATTGGACTCTTTTAACTATTTCTTACCACATCCATTTTAATTTCAATATTATACACAACAATTAGATAAATTGTATGAAGTAAGCTTTCTTATCATCTAATCTTTGACTTGTTAAAGATACTCTATATTTTTTTAAAAAATATCATTCCAAAACAAATTTTTCTTTTACTTCTTCTAATTTTCACTGATTTCCTTTATATCGTAAACACTGGGGTACCCTTTTAAAAAATCTATACATTGGGTCTTTGGCTTTCTTTTCACTCCTCTACATTTAAGCAAGGAGAGGTCTGTTTTTCAGTGTTCAAGGTCATGGGTATTCTGTTGTCCTTCCTGTGTGCTGTTACTCTCCCCCATTGGTCTTGATCTAGAAGGGTGATTTCAATGCAAAGGCTCTTGCCAAAGTTCTGTGTCCAGTGCTCACTCATTTCATGTGCTGCAGCGCCCAGGAGTGGTCTTTAGCTTCTAATGATAAGCTCTCTGATGGTGGGGAAGAGGATTTATCTTGGAAATGTTTGTTTATGTGCCATGAGCCTACTCAAGAGTGCCTCTGGTGGCCTGCCTCAGTGCTACAACCACATCCCAGGATGTAGTTCCCCATGACCCTCAGGGAGCCATTCCTGAGTGGGGCATTAGATTGGAGGCAGACTGACAAGTGCAGACTCAAGGATGAAATGAATGGCCTTGCTTTACACCCCATTCCCCACAAAAAAATGTAAGAGATTTATATAAAGGGAAGGTTGGGAATGAGCTGACTGCTCTTGTCATCATCAAAAGACCCAAGTCTCTGATGTTAGGCCAAATGTATTTATAGTGCTTCCTATGCACACTTTTCTAAGTGCCTCACATGTATTAGTTATACAGTCCTTATAACCACTGTATCAGTACATTTCGCAGGTTATGAAATTGAGGCAGAAAAGTGGTAATAACTTTCTAAGGTTATGCAGCTCCTAAGTATGAGAGCAGCATTAAATCCACAGCTTGAACCTTCTCCTTTAACCACTCTATACCTATCTATCTAGTTATCTACCCAGTCAGATAATAGATATAAATATATACCATTATGTGTACACACACACACACACACACACACACACACACACACACATGCTAGCAACATTTCCTCCTTTACTTGTCCTTGTTCTGCGTCTACCCTGCACAAGTGCACTCTGGTAGAGTATACACTCTCTTACGGTCAGACTGGCTCTGAATTACACTTGTAGTTTCCTTACTCTTAGAATTCTGTATCACTTGAGTATTTTTTTAATATTTCAATGAGGAAATGAACTCTGCCCCACTAGCTCTCATATGAACTGGGAAGTCCTCATGGAATTCTTTGCATATAAAGTTGATCTTAATGACTGTGCTTAGTTTACTGACAAGAAAATCAAAGCCCAGAGTGATTAGGCAACTTCCCCAAGACATAGAAATAGTGATGGCCAAGCAAGATGAGAACCTAACCTTACCTGATTTGTTCCCCACTCAATTTAGCCAGGTAAACTGTCTTAGAAACTGCTGAAGGAAAAATGAAGCTGTCTTTCCTAACCTGCTCCCAAAGGCCCATACATCCTCAAAGGCCATAGGCAATATTTGGTTGGATTTTAGCTTGTTTGATTTCTTCTTACATGAGAGAATGGAATGCAGACCCTTAACTGAGATTTTTTTCAAATTAGGCTGGGTAACAGATGTCTTCTTAAGCTCTTTCACTGGACATCCTATTAATTTTTTTTTAAACTCCCATTATTTTACTCTTGACAGACCTGTTATATGTCAGATGTGAGACAAATATACATGTAGAGGAAGCTTCCCTAATTAGCTGGGTTTGCCTCAGACTCCTGAGGTTATATAGAAAAAACAAAACCAAAAGTGCACACACCAGGACATGTACCTCATCATAAATTTGTCTGGCATATTTAGTTGACTTCTGGGTAGGACAGTATCAAAACCTGTGTGATAAGTTGTGGAGCCTGTGGCCTTAATGATGCCCTTGGCATCTCCTTTCAACGCAGAAGTTTTGCCATTGTGGGGAGGTGGCTTCCAGGCACGTGGGTGACAGGGCCTCGGGGGTGGCCCTGCTTGGGTCAGCAGCCTGGGAAGGCTGCATTTTATTACACATGTAAGCAGTATGTACATCCTGGGTAATGTCAATTATGGTGAACACCAACAATTTGGACTTTAGCCCTTTAATAAAAATCCTCTGAATTGGGTTTTAAAAGTCAGGCTCTTGTGGCAAAACCAAGTAGGAGAGAAAACAATAGAATAATTGGAGGCTGCTGTCTTTTCACTTCCCACATAAAATTATTTGAAGAGACAGGCCAGAACTTTAAACAGGAATACCAAGAAAAGTTGTAATTTGGATGTCGGTTGTCGTGACTTTAGGATATGTGCTTAAAGGACTCCCCCCTATCTCTCTCTCTCTCTCTGTCTCTTCCCAGACATACTTCAATGACAATATCCTTACCCTGATACGGACCCTGGTGACCGGAGGAGCCACACCGGAGCTCGAGGCTCTGATTGCTGAGGAGAATGCTCTTCGAGGGGGTTATAGCACCCCCCAGACGCTGGCCAATAGGGACCGCTGCCGCGTGGCCCAGTTAGCATTGCTGGATGGGCCCTTTGCAGACTTGGGGGTGAGTGCATTGCACAGAGGTCACCTGAGCCTGCTGTTTGGTCCAAATGAACTAGGTACCAGATAGTGACAAGCTAGGCATCTATCTTTTCTACCTTCTAAAGTAAATAACTATAAAAGGTAGTGTTTACAGCTTACTGTATATCAGGTACATGCTCTACATGTGGTCATTCATGTTGATGCTCATGGCAGTCCTTTGATGTAGGTTCTATTATCAGACACTCTAAGGAAACTGAGTCTCAGAGAGACTGAAGACTGGCTCTATCAGGAATAGCATCAGGAGCCCTAGCTTCTGAGCCTGTGGCTTACTCCTCTTGGGTATCTTTTACCAAGAGATAGAAGCTAGCAAGTGATTCCAACATGCAGTCAAATCTGGGAACAGTTTCTACAGGCTCTTAGCATAGCTCAGGGCTACTTAACACCAAATGCACATTAATGGCCTATGAGGAGCTTTTGCAATTCACTGATGGCCATGTGCAGCCCCCAGGTTTCTGAGTTTTTGTGTCTGGATAGGACCCAGGCACTGGTGACTTTCAAAACACCACCAGTAAGTGTATGCATCCACTACCACTGACCAAACAATAACATCCTGTGCAGATCCTTTAATGTCTGTCATTCCTGATTCAGGTCTTTTAATTTCTGAGGCTGGAATCAGTCACTCTCCTCCAAGCCTCCCTGCTGCAGAGGTGACCAATGCCTCCCTTTGGGTTCCATGCACCAGCATTTTAGCAGAAGTGTGCAATCTTGACCCTTATTCCCAGCCCTACTCCAGGGATGAGTTCAAGGGGTGGAGCCACAAGTCTTAGGATCCAATAAACCCATTGTATAAACAATAGTATTGCTCAAGGAAAGGGGTACTTTCTTCATTTCTTCTGAAACTGTAATAATAACTTGCTCCATATTTTAGTTTGGTTATAGGCAGGGACGTTTGTTAGACTGGACTTTTTTTGAAAGGCAGTTCCTATAACTAGCAGCTCTTTTAACTATCACTTAATATATCATTTTAAGGACCAAGACTTGAAACAATGGTAAGATTTGGCTCTGCTTGTATTCTCTAATATGATGCCTCAAAGACAGGATAGACAAATGCAGTCACTTTATTCCCGGTGAAGTCCTTCTTCAGTGCCCTTCCTATAACACCTACCTGAATCCAGCATTTCCAAGTGAATGAATTTGCTTTCACATTCCACGTCAGGCTCCAGACCGTTGGGAGGTGGCTGTGAACTGATTAGAACTGTGAATTCCAGTTATTCAGCCTGCAGACCTCCAGCTCCTGGGAAAACATTTTCTCTTCCACTCTTGTTATCTCTGAGGTCTGTAAATTGTGCTTTTCACACAGTTCTTACCTGAAAGAGTCTATCACCATAGTACCTGGTAGGGTCTTCTCTCAGTGATTTTAATTATCACTCAAGCAGTTTTGACAACACAGTCAGATCACAGTGATTACAGCCAAGCTGGGGCTAAACATAAGCACCATTTTGCAGACCCAGTTTCTTCTGAGCAACATGCATCTGAGACCTTCAAGCTTTACACCTTCACTTAAAGTGAGGGAGAGGTGCAGCCTCCTTAGAGCTCTCATTGCTACAGATGGAAAGCTAGAGAGAACCAGGGGGAAATCTCATTATTTGATTCCAAAATATTGGGTGTAGGCTGTTAACCACACTGACTTTTTCAGCCACAGTCCTTTACAGATCCTCCAGCTCAAGAGACACCAAAACAAGCCTTCGTGAAAAGGCCCATTTCTCCCTGGAACTCTACTTCCAAGCCAATAAAAATGATGTTTCTCTTTGTTCTTTTGTTGTCTCCTAGGATGGTGGTTGTTATGGTGATCTGTTCTGCAAAGCTCTGAAAACATATAATATGCTTTGTTTTGGAATTTACCGACTGAGAGATGCTCACCTCAGCGCCCCCAGCCAGTGCACGAAGAGGTGAGCAGGTTTCCACTCTGCTCTTCCACTGATATGCAGCAATATAAATGACCCTTCTGTCCCCCATGGTGAAGGCAAAAGCAAAGGCCCATACACACACTATCAACATGCAAATTACTCTGCTCATTCAGTTCAACACTGAGTTATGGGAAGCTTTCCTTCTTTAATTACTAATAGCAGATATAAAGACATTGTGGGAAAAGTTCAAATTTTGTAGGATAGTTCTATCACCTAATTACAAGCATTTGAATAGATGCATCTCCTCCAAACTCCAGCTACTGGGAAAATTCTGTTGGTACCTAATATAGAGATATTTCATATTGCTAGTATTTAAGATAAATGATTCTTTTGCCATATTTTAGATGCTTATATTTTTACTTAATACATTTTTAATTGACTTATTTACTTTGATATATTTATTTAAGAAAATTATATATTGGCACCTGAAGCAGAAATAATAACAGTTTACATTGGCTAGTTGTATTGTTCTAATATGCATCAAGATAAATTCAGAGCAGCCCCAAATTAAGAGTACATCCTAGAATCATCAAAATCAGTGTGTGTACATATATCCCAGGTAACAATGCTACAGAGTTGAGTGTTTCTCAACCCTACTTGAATATTAGAATTGCTGGGGGTACTTTTAAAAAACACCCCAATTAGTCTGACTTAACTGGTCTTGAATGAAAATAACATGTTTTAATGCCCAGAGATTGCAATGTATAGCCAGAGTTGAGAATAATTGCTGTAGATCAGTGGGTTCTTGAAGTTTAGTGAACATGAGGGTCACCCGCAAAGCTTGTTAAAACACAAACTGCTCAACCGCATGCCCAGAGTATCTGATTCCATATGTTTGGGGTAGGGTTGCTTAAGAATTTGTATTTTTAAGAATGCTGATATCGCCCTGGCTGGCGTAGCTCAGTGGATTGAGCACGGGCTGCGAACCAAAGTGTCGCAGGTTCGATTCCCAGTCAGGGCACATGCCTGGGTTGTAGGTCATGACCCCCAGCAACCGCACATTGATGTTTCTCTCTCTCTCTCTCTCTTTCTCCCTCCCTTCCTGCTCTAAAAAATAAATAAATAAAATCTAAAAAAAAAAGAATGCTGATATTTCTGACCTAAGGACCACACTTTTGAGATCCACTGCTGTTGATGAAACTGATTTTTTTAAAGTCATGTCTGTTGTTAATCAGAGAAAACTTGATCAAATTGAGAACAGTTAAAGCAGGACCAACTGATAGACAAGAAGTTGTTTTATGTTCTTCCATTTAGTAAAATCCCCATCAAAGTTGATTTTTAAAAAGTAAAGAGTGAGGAAGGACTAAGAAGATGCTACACTATGGTAAACAAAGATCCTGTGGTGTGTGTGCAGGATTGTCAGAGCATTCTAGAATGAAAGACAATGCAGTGCAGTCCATGAAACCTCCTGCATGTGCTTGGGGTACTCAGGGATCAGAAGTGAACTTGACATTGTATTGAAAGGGCCATGTAGATCATAGGCAGCACAGTTTGGTTTTCCCATTACCTGGCACTTATTCAGCATCTGGGATGTCAGGGCTCATGGCTGGCCTCTATTGAGCAAAAGAGAAGAAGATTTCATTCAACTTGGAAAGTAATTCTTAATGCCATGGACCAGCAGCTGTAAGTCCACCTTCCAGATCTTCCAGTAGACCTGAGGAACAGACAAGTTACTTTTGATTCAGAGAGGTGAAATTTCCACCCAGCCATCCTCATTCTGTGACCTCTTTGTTCTCCCCCTCCAGGTATGTCATCACCAACCCCCCATACGAGTTCGAGCTCGTGCCGACGGACCTGATCTTCTGCTTAATGCAGTTTGACCACAACGCCGGCCAGTCCCGGGCCAGCCTCTCCCATTCCTCCCACTCATCCCAGTCCTCCAGCAAGAAGAGCTCCTCTGTTCACTCCATCCCATCCACAGCAAACCGTCCGAACCGGCCCAAGTCCCGGGAGTCCCGAGACAAACAGAAGTACGTGCAGGAAGAGCGGCTCTGATATGTGTATCCACTGCCACCGTGTGTGAAACTGTATCTGCCACTCATTTCCCCAGTGGGTGTTTCCAACAGTAACTTTCCCCATTTTCCCCTGTAGTCCCCCCCTTTTTTACACATATTTGCATATGTATGATAGTGTGCATGTGGTTGTCATTTTTATTTCACCACCATAAAACCCTTGAGCACAACAGCAACTAAGCAGAGGACCAAAAGTTATTTATGATCCTAGGGGGAAAGTAACCCAAAGGCATGCTCCAGACATAAATAGCTCACTGGGAGAATAAGGTCGCAGATTAGCAGAGGCTTGTGACCCACAGCAGTTAGGCAAAGCAAGTTGACCTAGTTAATTTAGTTGATATAGAAGAAAAATTCATTCTGATTTTTCAGGATTATCAGGGTGCTTTGGGTTTTGACTATATTGTTGTTTTCCTTTCTTTTTTATATACACACAGTAATATATACACACGTTTATTTGAAACAAGCAACCAAAAAGGAACAAAAACATATCAAATGTTTCCACTCTCTGGGTTGAAGGATTGCGAAGCTTTTGAAAAGCTTTTGCCATTTGTGTAGATGATGATTAAACACCTGCTCGGTTGTAAAAGAACAACTGAGGTGTTTTGTTTTTTTTTTTTTAGCTGCTAACCAAGGGCTATAGTTCCAGAGCTGGCTTCCTTTGGGAATTCAGAGGAACATTTCTACCCTTACTGTGGAAGAAAGAATAGTATTCCATTTGTGGATATATCAAATTCTAGTCATTTAATTTAAGAGCAAAGAGGTTTGATTGCATATTAAATTGTTATTCTGTCTCCTTATGCTGCCATATGAATAGCTATTTTTTTTCTTTCACTTTTGACATTTGGGATGAAAAGCCATATGTATCATAAATATCGAATGTAAGTCATTAAAAACTGCCTTCCTGGGACTTTTACATCTTTTAAAAGGTGAATTACTTACCTTATGTACAGAATAAATAATGCTCAGGAAAGAGCAAGTATTTTTCCACACATTCTCAGGGGACCTTTTTACTCCCCTCTGTTTGATTAGCTAGGGCCCCCATGACAGGTAGGAGCAAGGGCTGGGCCATGGTGCAGTGAGAGGAAGATAAACCCAGCAGCAGATCCTTTTCTGTTTTTAGGAGCTGACATGATAAATTGATCAGAATGTGGGGGGATCAAGCCATAGTTAACCCAACAAAGACAGAAGGCAGCTACCACCTTAAACTGTTGGTCCCAAAGCAGAAAGCTGGTGGGAGAATCCCTCCTTGTCAATCCCTCTATCATAGCCAACTCACTCAGGCAGGTGGAGGACAGTCTGAGGGAGCTGCTCCTTGTCATTTTGTGATGGGGAGGAGAAGAAGGGTATAACAGTGAGCCAAACATATTTTGGTATAATTTTTTTTGTTTTCTTTCTTTTATCAGTTAGTGAGCATGAGAGGAAAGGTAGAAAAATATCCTTTTTTTCAGTATATAATTCAGATGTTTTATGCATGCAAATCATACTTTAGACAGTATAGTAGTTGTTAAAAATAGGCCCATTCCACCTTAACCAAATTCTTATAGAAATGGACTAGCCCTGAGCTGATATATGCATATTTGAAATGTTTACTTAAAAAAATCCATCCAACAGAACAGAGGTGTAGGAGAGGAGAAAAATGTCACACCTGTAGAATCTCTAAAAAGGTGTTTTTATGGTGAATGGTTTGGGTTTAGATTTTGGACCCCCCTGTCCCCCCTCAAAGCATGACAGTTTTGAAGATTTGCTTGCTGTGTGAATTGACAAGCACTTTTACTGACAAAATGGTGAGGCTTAGTCAGAACTTCTGCCCCCACACCAAAGACATGGCCTGCATTATTCAAACAAGTAAAGGGGTGGGGAATAACTGTATACATGTACATTAAAAAGCCCTATGAGTAGAAGGTTTTTTTTTCAGATTATTTTTGTCCCTATATATTGATTTATATATTATGTATAACTATCTTTTTATATATAACTATATAAATATCTCTATATACACACACATACATTTACTTGTATACGTGTGTGTGTGTATACATATATACATACACACACACACAGACACACACATCCCTAGTTTTGGACCATGAAGAGCTCTTCATGCATTCTTTGCAAAGGAGGTTGTAAAGTTATGCCCTCAGAACATTTATAACTGTAAGAATGTGCCAGTTAAAGTGCTCAACAGGAAATATGACAGTTTAAAAGCATTGTAAAACTCACATAGCTTACTTCTCTCTCTAAAGTGCAACAAGGATGAATAGAATGGGCCAAGGTATGACAATTAATGGTTCTGCATGACCTAGCCACTGCTGGGGGTTTTCTTCTATAACGTTGTCCTTGTGAAAACTTTTGTGAAATTAAAAAAAAGGAGTTACAAATTTTATTCTGTTATTGGTTTGTTTGTTTTTATTTATATTGTTCTGTTTGTGGTTTTATTTATTTTGTTTTGCTTTTTTTCCCACCCCATTTCCCCTCCTTCCCTCTTCCTTCTCCTTTCTCCACTTTCTAAATTGCTCAGCGCAATGAGGCTGTGCTGCTGCTACTGCTAGATCCCTTAGAGTTTGTTTTGGTGTTCTTGGGTTTGGGTTGGGTAATTTGGGGGCAACTTCTCTCCATCTGGCTTGCCTTTCGATCTGCACGTGGCCTCCCTGCCCACCTTGATACCTTGCTCCAAGTTCAAAAGCATTTTCCCATCAAGATACTCAGCTTCCTCCACTCCTCCCCCCATTACCAGAACCCCAACCCAGCCCCCCATCAGTCTGTCCACATCTCTGTGTTTATCTTGGCAAGACCTACTAAATCAAGTGATGACACCAGGTGATAAACTTTTCTGGAAAATATTTGTAGCTATTTGATTTGGCAAACCTGCTTTTCAATATTTCATCCTCCTTTCTATTGAAATCAGGAGGGTTATTGCTAACAAAAGCACTGGTCTCCTTTATATTTGATCAGTACGACCCCAAATTAAAACTTTTCAACTCTATGTATCAACTCAGTAGCTCACACCCAGTTATCTGGGGGCTAACAATTCAGTCTCTATTACCCAGGTCTCTCCTGCCACCTGCCATTCTTACACTTGTTAAATCCCAACCAGAGATTGGGCAGATAGAGAGAAGTAAATCCAAAATGCATTTTATATACAATCTGTTAGCAGCTCTGGTGAGATGATTGTGATGGGAATGGAGTGGGACCAGACTGTGACATGAGATGAAATGCTGGGATTTTTTTCCTGAAGTTTGGGCACACGATTGAGAGTTGACTATACTTGGGTAATGATATATTCGATGATGAAAGAGGTATTACTACTACTTCTATTTTATTAGCCAAAACTACTATATTATACTTTCCTTGATAGAACAAACAGTCTATTTCACTGTTTTCTGTGTGAAGCCAAACTTCCAATTCCTCTTTCAGGTTGTACTAGGGAGGGGGCATAAAATTTTATGCCTTTCCTCTTTCCTCTCCCCACCAAACAAAGAAACATGTAGGTAAGGGTAGAAAGTGAAGGAGTTATTTGAAGACAACATATGTGCATTTAAAAACAATTGAGCTAGAACTCAATTCTTGGCAACAGTCTAGAAAAGAAACAATTTGTAAGCTATTCAGTCCAATTTGCTTTATAGGCTTCAAAAGGGGTAATCCTTAAAATGTAAGTGAATAGACCAGGAGGCTCAAACCTCCTCGGCCTCAAAACAATGATGATAATGAAATAATCATCATCCCTAATGACTGCCATTCAGGCCCCTTCCTGGAGCCACTTCAAATGGCTAAAGAGAAAGCTGGACCCCTATACGTACATTTAGATTTATCTTACAGTTGGGAAAACTTTCAAATTATGTTATAAATACTAAAGGTTGTGACCCAGAACTTTACTCACAACAGGTGCTCAATACATACTTTGAAATAAATCAACCTTAAATATTTGTATATTTTTCATCAATTTATAAGTTACCTCTACATCGTTGGCTTATCTTTACAAAAACATAACAAATGCCTGCATGTTCTTCATGATGCTGCTGTTCTGTTGGCACTGTCTAGAGCTGGGTTCACAGCTACTGAGAAAGGGGAACTACCACCCTGTATGTAGCTCAGTGAGCAGAGAGACTAACTGTGCCTTCTGCCAGTGTTGTCAAGATCCCAGGTGACCAGAAAAACCTTTTGACTGGCTCTTCTTCAGCATGGGAAAAGCCTAAAGGTGTTTGCATCCCAATAGAGACAATTAAATCAACCCGCCAGGTTCCTATAGCAACAGGCTCCTGAAGGAAAAAGAGGAGCGTACAGAAACTTCAGGGCCTGTGGAACTCAAGACAGGGCAAAATCAATGTCTCAGTCAGCTTCTTTCAGCTCACCCCTGCTTTGTCATAACATGAGAAAGAAGTAGCTGTGGGCACCTGTCACTAGCCTGTTTGCCTGTCTCCCAACAGGAGGTTGCACATTCATTGCGGAGGGAAGTGATAGGGATTATCTCTGCCAACTGCCACCAGTCACCTGAAAGGGAAGTGTGCAAATGCTGCCCTCCAGGTGTTGAGGGCCAGAGGGGGCAGTTGGCCCTGTCCAGTGAATGGCAGCATTAGACTGTTAAAAAAGGCAAATGCAATCATAGTGGACAATAGCAAAGAAGTGAGATAGTTTTCATAAGCAAAAACTGCTGTCACTCTGGTACAAATGATTTTCATTTCTATAAAATAGCCACAATTTGCCCATGGAGAGGAAAGAAGGCAGCATGCATGGGGGCCCACTGGGAGCCCAGGGGTCTTCAGGACAGAAGGATGTCGCTCAGAAGTGTGAGGTGTGAAACCACACAGCATTACCTTCTGCAGGCTGAGCTCCTCGTTAGCTGTTACTGTCCTCAACTGTTTTCTCTATCCAGATGGAATCTTTTCCTTTCAATCCCTTTCTCTCTAAACCTCAGCTTGTGGTACAGCGAGAAGAGGGCCAATTATTCCAAATGTCTTTGCTGATCCATCGTCTCCCCTTTAATGCATTCTCCTCTGGGGAGTAGTTACGTGAAAAGGCTAAATCCCACAGCACTGACAACCCACAGAGCCGACAAAGAGACTCAATTTTCACAATGCAGTCTGTTTCTCTGCTTCTGGGTCCCCAGCCATTATGTTGGCCCAGATCTGGGACCTTTCCCACCATTGCTTAATATTCTGGGATTGCATGTGGCTGGAGGAAATGCTGACCCTTATTTTGGACCCTTCCATCTCAGTGATGACAGTAACAGTGAAAGATGGAGATGATTTGCAGGTAGGGTAGGGGTCTGTGGAGCGAAAGCTGATATTTCAAAGACACAGGTGCCATAGGAGGGTAGCAGCCCTGACCTCCTCAGACAGAATACCAGGTCACTCCTCACCTTCCAAGTGAAGACTACCCCACTAAATCCTCCTCGGTTGTCTCTACTGCCGCAGTCCCCATTCTTCAGATAATCACCCCTCCCCCAATTAATAAACTTTAGTTCTTACTCCCAGCTCTTTTGCAATCATACTGAAAGATCCTAACCATCCTTATGTGCTGACCTTATACTCAAAGCTAACACCTCAGTGACTACCATGGGCCAGACACGCTTCTAAGCACTTTCCTTATATTAACTCATTCAATCCTTGAGACAACCTCAGACGTAGATGCTGTTGGAATCTTGGTGTGAAACATGCCGAATCTGAGGGATAGATTTGTTCAAAGTCACCTAGCCAGGAAGGAGTAGAGTGGAATGTAAAACTGAAGTCTATGATAATTTTGCCTTTATGGTGTAATGCTTGCTTGCTGCTATTACTAATAATTACTAATAGTCTTCACAGCTCACGTTGACTTACCATGTAACTGGACCTGTGGTAAGTGATTCATGGAAACCAGATCAGGAAAGTCTTACCATTAACCCCATTTTATAGAGGAGAAACTAAGCTAACATACATTTCATAATGACTTGCTCAGAGCCATGCAACTAGTATGTGAGAGAGCCAGATCCATATGAGCTTAACCCATTCATTGCCCTATGACATCTCCTTGGCCCACACCTCATTGCTTGTCCATGCTGGATACATAGTGGCATGTCTTGATAGGTGGTATCTGCCAACGACAGTGTCAATTCTTTTACCAACACCTCTCTGCAGTTATTTTCCAGGCTTTATCTTGTTCTCCTAACCCACTTGCCACAGACTGTGTGCAATGCTACTCCCTTCCTATACTCACAGTAATGACATCATGCATATCTCATCCTTAAGAAGCTTATGAACAAATAGGGCTCTTTTTCTCTGTCAATGAGAAGGACCTCATGGTCTGACCTATTGCTCTTCTCATCTTAGGGATGCAATAAAGTTCCCAGAAACCTTTCTGGCATGTGGGACATGCGAGGCAAGGAAAGGGGATACAGTCAGGGATTTGAATTTATCCTAGACTCCTACTTCAGCACTCATTGGAATTGCCTCTGTGAGCACCCCTCCTAATGGCCAATTTTGGAGGCACCCATTGGCACGGTTTCTTTTTTGGAAGGCAAGATTTGATAAACCATGTGTAATTGTCATGCCTGAAACACTCTCCATTGAAGTAGAATGACTGGTGATCATTAAGTGTGTGTTCCCATGAAGCCCTTTGGGAGAATCTCTTCATAAAATACCTTTGCCCCCAGACATTTTTGCACAATGTTCAGAGCATTAGTATATTTCCACTTCCTTGACCAAGTATCTAACCAAGTATCCAACAACACATATGCTTATATCTTACAAGCCACTCAAATTAAAAATCCTCTCTCTCAGGCATAATGAAAACCTTGGCTCATTCCCTGGATATGCTTTAACCCTACTCCTTCTTGTGTGGAGGCCGAGTGGCCAAAACACAGGGGCTACCCTACTTAGAATTTTTTATGGCAAGAAACTTAAAAGGAAAGAGAAAGAAGCTTACATGGGGAAATAATCCTCTCTTTCTTACAGACAGCAGAAGGAAATTGATATTCTCCCTGCCATGAAAGGTCAAAATGCCAACTTTGAATTGAACTGTAAAGACTAACTCCTGAACAATTATTGTCTGCAGCAGTTGTAAAAAATTCAGCAAATTGCAACTGTCTTAGGTCTTTCACCCAAAAGACCTGCTCATTTTTGTAAGCAGAGTTCACGCTCCTTCCCAGGATGGCATGTCCAGCCTAGCACTAAATCCCTTTGCTAAATCAGTCCGAAGGATGCCATGTCCAAAAACCCAGGGTGGCTGAGGCAAACAACACAGGTGCTAGGTTCAGCGCTTCTAAAACTCATTTTTACACACAAACCATTGGAAAAAGTCATAGTTTGAAATTGTTTCAGCGGCCTGGCAATGCTTTTAAAACATGATAACCATCACACTTTACTCCTCTCTGAAAGGTTAGCTTAATCGTACATCACAAAAAATTGGTTTCCACAAATGCATAATGGTTCATCTATGTCACACTTGAACTAAATGGTTTTTTAAATGGAGCTGAAATTATTTTGATGTGTACACAGTCCCCAGTTTCTATACAACCTTTTTTAACCAGCCCATCAGGAACCTTGCCTGTAAAGCCTCATTAATAATTCAGATGTGCTGATGACTTTAAAAGATCTATGGAATTGAGGCTTGGGAAAAAAAAAAACTCTGCTTGACAAAAAGATAAATGAATGTAGAAAGAAGCTGTAGGAGTCTGGCAAGCTGTAGATCATCTCAGAACAGATTGTAACTTTATCATTCTGTCAGGGGGAATAATTTAAAGCACTTAATCAGTTAGCTTCACTGTGAGGATGTAGCATTATGAATTCCTATCGTCCAATCTGTTCAAATCAAAGTGAACTTAATTATAATAGGTGAGAGAGCTAGAGCAGCAAAGAGGGGGGTGGAGCATAATCCAAGAGGCAGGAAATTTTCTGGGGGTAAACCGAGCTGCTGAACAAAGGAGTAAGTGAGTAAGCTTTCACCAAGATGCACCCCAGCTCCAGTGACAGAGCATTTACATTGAGGGCTCAGGGTACTGGACACAGCTCTAGACCAAGGGGAAAGAAGCCGAGTGATCATGAACTAAGCATAGATGCCGAATTTATAAATCACCAGGCAAATGGGGACATACACCACACTCTTTTCTGTCAGTACAGGTGAGCAATTCTTGTTAACATGTGAGTCCAGGGTCACTGACAAAGCAGGCATGAATTGTTCTGGTGGGCAGAAAGATGGCTCAAGAGGTCATGGTCTCTATAGCAGTGGGTGTCCTGAAAGCTTTCCCCCTTTTCTTTTTCTAAGCCACTAAATGAGGCATATGATTCTCAACTTAGAATGTCCTATTCACCCAATCTCTTTGTATCTATATACATGGCCTATTTTCCAGAAAAATTTCAATCCTAGAAAGAGGTGAGGATGAGGGCTAAGTCTTACAACATAGCACTGAACTGCTAAGAGGATGCTAGGCCATTTGCATTCTCATCCCAGCCCCCAAATCCTCTGACTCCTCACTCTTTCTCATCCATCTCTGCATTTAGGGTGGAAATGAAATGCCATCTCTGCATTTAGGGTGGAAATGAAATGCCAAGACTTTGTGGAGCTCCCTTATTAACAGCTTGGGTTATTATATTATAGTCAGTTAAGAGAGTGCTACTAGGTATTCTTTTTAGAACCTAATACTAATACAGAGTTTTCTTTCTTGAATTAAAAGTCATCTAGAAAACTTCTGAAACCATTGGCTGCTGTTCTGGTTTTTAATCTCATTGGCCTGCAAAATTTGCGAATTTACTTTAAGACCCTCAAAATTGGCTTGCAAAAGAAGTAGCAGATTGAAATGGTTGAGATATAACTTGAACTGTGGTTTTAACAGGCAAAGCTAAGTGAAGCCTGGGAGGAGACCCTGCATAAAATTCTAGATTACTCACTCTGTGGCAGAGATGAGTCCCCTTACGTTCCACCCAAATCAGTGGTACATAAATCTTTCCTCAGGTACAATGTCTATACCTAGTATTCGATACAGTTAGCATCTCCTTCCCAACAAAGCTTTTTAGGCCACTAAAGGAACACCAGAGAACATTGCCAGAGTTTGTTTTCCAACCCCTCTTTATTCTCTGAGGTTCACTCATGGTGCCTCAAGTCCTAATGGCCCATTGGTCATCACTTGCTATGGCAACAGAGGTATGTTTCTGGGGTTCTTCGTACAGTGCACTGTCTCTCTTAGCAATGACTCACTATCAGCTTCTATCTATTACCTTTTTGCATTTTTTCAATGAACTTTCCAAAGGCTTTATTCTAGGACTAATTAAGCTTCTCATTTCTCCTTCTTGTTCTCTATCCATTTTGCCCTTTAGCAGAAAAGAAATGGTTTACAGATGAACCGGATAATGCCTATCCGAGAAACATTCAAATCAAGCCCATGAGTACCCACATGGCTAACCAGATCAACCAATATAAATCCACAAGCAGCTTGATTCCACCAATCAGAGAAGTTGAAGATGAATGTTGACTCCCAGGTGACCAGAACTATTTTTTTAAAGCCTGACAAACTTCATAAATGGTGATGTGACTTTTCTTCCTCTTACATACTGAATCACTGGTGGAAACATTAGGCTAAGCGAGGTTGGCAAGAAAATAAAGTAGACAGATCTTTCTCTTTGTCTGCCTGAATATTGCTTCCATGTATTTTGGAAAAGAAAATGATTTCACTTATAAATGAACATACTTAAATAGTCATGTATAGCCTCTAGCATTTTAAATTATTTTTATTTATTAGAAAGAAAATATATTTTTCCTTTGTTTTCACTGTCAAATATCTTCCTTATATCTAAACAATGCAAAATCAAAATGAATATGTGGCCAGACTCCTTAATATGTATTTCTCTTCTTTGTCTTTTTCTTTGAGGAGAATGATGGTCACCACCACAATTAATTGTAATGAAAGGAAATGGGTTATCAGAAAAAAATTTTAAATGGTTCAAAGATGTAAATGTATTTTAGTACATTCAAAAAAAGAAGACAAAAGGGTGCAGGTGAATTTCCTGGATGGGTCTGTATTTTGGCTGCACTGACACCAGCTCTTAATAAATGGAAACATTTATTTTCACAGTTGAAAGTCATATTTTTGTAGTTTTAGTTTTCATTCTGTATTTCTTATCCCTTTGTTCATATACTTAAAGGGGAGACCTTCTTGCAGCTTTTCTACAATTGCCAGATCAGGTTTACTCAGCCAACTAACAATACCAGGAGAGTTGTGAGCACGCCTGGGAATGTGGAAAGTGAGGACCAGATGCACAGGAGACATTGCTCTGTCTATTGTTCTAGTGGTGGGAACTCCCACATGTTGTTGTGCTTCTCATTCCATATCTCCGAACTTCCCATGCAAGTATTTCAACTATGAAAGGGTCTGGTGGGCTTTCCCCACTCCCCAAGTCTCAGAGATTTTAGCCTGAAAGTTTATAATAAACATTAATGAACAGTTGTACTTCACAGTAGGATGTGATAAAACACTTATTCTTTTCATTGAATTTTGTTTAAAAACCAAAAATTTTCTATAATCAAGGACACAACTTTTGCCCAGATTTTAGCTTTTCAGGCTTTCCTTCTGTCCCTGGGACAAACAAAACCCACAAACTTGCTACAACAATATAAAAAATAATAACAAAAGGAAAGCAACAAATACACTTAAAATAAACTGTTAGAAAAGGCCTTGGAAAATTACCAGAAGTGAAATCCAATGTATCAGCCACTTCAATCTATGGTCAAAAGATTTGTTTAGCCATCAGACACAATTACCATGTCTCACAGCTCTGCTGCCACTTGCATGCTCAGTGTACAGTCGTCCCAGCAACTGTTAAGTTCCAAATGAGTTAGCAAGTCTTCTAACTTCAAAATTATCAACCTTTGATACAATGATCAGGGTCTCTGGAGAAGCATGGATGTGACAGTGATTTTTATTTTCTTAAAAATGTGAACGGTGGACACTTGAAAAAACCAAACTTACCAAAATATCCCCAAAAGTCCCATAATATCTATTCCATTAATTCTTTAGGCTATGACCCTGTGGTACCTAGTGTGTTAGCACACATCAGATCAGAGGCAAGCAATGGAGTCACCATGAAAACACGTGTCCACTAAGTGCTCCAGTTACAGCATAGACGAAATGCGCTTCCACTTCCGTCCCTGTGGAGCCAGCATCGTTGTGCTTCCACCGTGTAGGCACCATCCTGAAGTGACTTGTCAGACTGTGTCGTCACATTTTGTAGAATTAGTTCTATAAAAGCATTGTGATTATAATGTATGTCCAATTGGATTGTTTAAAAACTACTTATAACCAATTGCTAGCCTACTCAGCAGACTAAAATGACGTAAGCAGTTTATATTCAGGCTTATAAACATTTCCTGGTTTCCAACAGAAGTAATGTTGGTTTGTGGGGTGAATCTCTTGCTAGGATTTTACACCTTTCCTGAAAGCCAGGCTTTCTTTCACACGATGATTTTGCACTGGGGTCACCTTAACACATTCACATCAATCCACACTCTTCTTTCCTTCATGAACTCTGAGGGACTCTTCTTCACCCTTGTTCCTACAACCACTTCTGAATTTGTCCTAACTATTCGGTCTCCTCTGGCAGGTGATGGTGGCCACCTAAATAATCTTAGAGGGACTTAAGCCACAGAGTCCCATGCCTGCTCCCCTCTCTCCCCCTCTCTCCACACCAAGCCAGTCTGGAAACAGATATATATGTAAACTCCAGGCCCATCAATGTTAGAGATTTGAATCTGAACTTTCAAAAAAATATGACTGAGATGGTTCTCTACAATAAAGGTATCCCCCCAACCCCCCCCCAAAAAAACTAATAAGTGGGAATCTGTTTTCTTCTAAGTTGGAGCAGGAAGCTCATGCTCTTTTACCTTTGTAATAATGGATTGTTCTGGGCCAAAAAATAAAATCAGGCATGCTTTTAAAGAATTGTGAAAAAATGATTGGTTGGTGGCTCCTTTGGTGAAAGCTGCTTGCTGGTAGGTTGAAAGTAAAATGAAAAGAGAAACAAGGTTGTGCAATCACTGAGGGGCTCATCAGAATGCCAGAGCTTCCTGGTTTGTTTCTGTTTGTTGAGGTCTCTGGCCCTGAGGAAGTGCTCACCCTACCCCACCACAACAAACTCATCATTCTGGATAAACTCAGTATAGACCAGTGATGGCCATCTTTGGTACAGTGTTACAAGGCCCTGCTCTCCTATCCTAGTTTGGGGTTCAGAAAAGCCTTTTTCCCAAACTAAATTTTCTTGGGTGCATTGAGCATCAAAGGCTCACCAAAAGGCTATTTAAAAAACAGAAAGCACCTACTTATAAAGGCATCATCACTGTCACTGTCTTTTTATATTTTTACTTTCATTGGAGAAATTTTATATTTTAAAACATCACCTTGAACCAATATAAAACACCATAAACAAAAGTGATTGTAAGACATGTTGGGGAACACCCAGGAACTCTTTTCCTTCATAGGTTTTGTACAAAATGTAGTTGAAGGCTTTAAATAAAGTAAGAATTAAATCTGTTTGTTTAGAATTGGAAAGGGGGGAAATGAAAATACTTAAGAAACTTGGGGATATTTTCATGTGAAAAGGTGAGAGTCCCACTAATGGTTTCATTGAAGGTTCTAGAACTACTACATCTGTAAATAACTAGCTATACATTTTGAAAATGTCCTTTAAACTCTCTGAGTCCCTGTGACCTTTGTAAATGAGAGGGATTCATCTAGATGATTCTAAGATCTCTTTAAGATCAGAGAGGGCATGGTCTAAGTTAGAGTGGGAGCCTGGGAACCCACCCTTGGAGACAATCTTGTCCTGTGCTAGACCGATGGTCCTCCTAGCTGTTCCACTCAGGCAGTACTGCAAAGGGCCATGTGCATTTTATGCTCTGGACACAAAGCAGTTAGTTTCATTTTTCTGCTTTACAGTTTGGAATCTTTTAGGTTCAAAACACAAATTTCAAAATTCATATTCTCCTGAACCACATTGATTAGATTGTTCTGTGTGTTCCTGAGGTTTTCTTTGCAATCTCATTCCTGCCTGCCCTTTTTCTTGGCTCAACATTCAGTTTTGGTCAATCCCTTCACCTTTAACCCATATCTCCAATTTCCATGATGTAGTTTGAGGCTCATGAATACTAGATTCCTGAAGTTTTCATCATTTTTTACTTTTGCATGCACATCTGGGCTTTAGGAAGTAATCAGTCATATCTCACTTTATTCCATATTCACTGTTTATTTGATTTTTTCTTTCAGTTTTACACTATCTCTTTGCTACTTATATTCATAAGTCTAGTTTTGATCTATCATTTTTTATTGTTGAAGAGAACCTCAGTAAAAGAAGCAAGGGAGGAAAGTATAAAAGGAGGAAGAGATGTAGAAAGAGAGAGGGAAAAAAATATCAAACTAACTGACTGGTAAGCCTCCTTATTCATAGGAGACTAAGCAAATCCATTCAACTTGGACATAGAGTTCCAGTGCAGAATCTGTCTACTTTCTATTCTTTCTCTGTAGGCTGCCTATTTCTATTCTGTTCCTATTTTCTGACTTTGGAGTGGTGGTAAAATCACCAGTTACTATGGTCCATGAAAAGACCTTTACTAGTTAGAGCTTGACTTACCATCTTTTAAAAACAGAAGGAACTGAGAATTGACTTACAACCTACCTGGTTAATCACCTTTCTGCCCTGCCTCTATTCATCCCATGTTCCCAAAGGGCATTTTTTTTCTATTTAGAACAGATTATTTAAAATTTGAATTCCATGTTTATTTGAGGAGCTAAGGTGGTCCTTTGGATTTATTTATGAGAGAATAGTAATTAGAAATGATTTCTAGCCAGTTTGTGCTAGTGCGACCATATTAGTGTTTAACTGAAGTCTATTTTAATTGATTGTTGCCCAAGCAATAACAGTTGTTAATATTTTCAAAATTGCCATGCAACAATTCAAATACTTTAGGAACTACAGAGCTTGCCGTTCCTATTGTACGTTTGCTGGGAACATGCACAGAGACAAAGCAGCGTGTGTGCCTGATGCAGAAGGCCCCCACAACAGTGGAAGGGTACACGATACCATGGCTTCGTGTGGTTAGACTAGGAAGCAATTTTAAGTGGGGCTCTCTGTACCAGACCTTCCTTTTTGTGCCTTGTTTTCTTTAGCAAGAAAGGGGGACTGAGACTTCTGTATCTAAAGATAGGCTAAACTCAGGACACTTGTCAAGGAGCTGGGAAGAAAGAACAAAAACAAAAGAATATAAACAGCATTTTATAGCACCATCAGCCAGGAGCATGTGTGTCATGGCAGGAGTTAGTGCTTTGGGTTGAAATGAGGGAGAGGTTGCATTGACCTCTGTGGGTTGGGGAAAATACAAAGGAACATAATGCTTGGTGGGTTTGGAGGGATTTCAATAGGCAATAAGTGATTGGAGAAATGTGGAGCATGAGGGTTTTCCAGGGAGAGGGGGTTTAATGGACCATAGCTCATTGGTAAGAATGTGATTTCAAGACATAGACCATTTTGTCTATGGGGTTGAGGTCACATAGGAGAGCTGAGGAGAACTAAGATGAGACTTCCTGGAAGAGGCTAGAAAGTAAATAGTTTTAAGGGCCAAGCTAAAAGTTTGAGACTTGATTTTAAAAGTCATGGAAAGCCACTAAAAGTTTTAAACAGAATGATGAATACCAATGCCTGTGCATTTGTCAGGTTGAAAGTTTTGCAATGTCAGTTTCTCCTGGAAGTCATTGTGAGAGTGTGCACAAGGTTGAATGTTTTCTCAGTAGCAATGCGTTCTCAGGGATGCACACTCCAAATCAACACTCAGTGTTCTGAAGCTCCTGTCTTCCTCCAATATGTGCTAGGGATCGTGATAACTGTAGCAGCTTAGTTGGAGTTGTAGAGGCTGGTGTGTGGGCTGGGAGTTGGGACAGTGACTATAATTCTGAAGGTTCTTTGTGAAGGGAACACTGAATGTGGACCTCAAGGGAAGAAACATGTGGAGGGATAGAAAAGAAGACAGGAAGGGGAGCCAGCAAGTACAGGCAGCTAAGAAATATTTTGGATTCACCCAGAGTACAAGAAGCTGAGAGCTATGAGTAAGAGAATGCCTCACAGGAACAAGGAGTAAGAAAAGTAGTGTGGATGAGAGGGTTACCGCAGACCATGTGGATTTGCAAACCAGGCCCACAGAAGTACTTGTAAAGTGGGGGGCGTGTCTGAATTCTCCAAGGGAGGAAGTACAGGCATGAAAAATCAGCTGTCAGAAGACTATTAGGGGGCTATATTCATATTTTTAGGAGCTAAAAGGAGTAGGATAAGTAGACACTCCTGGCATAGAGGACCTAGGGTACTCCAGAATCAGGAAAATGGGAAACATGAGAGGGACACTTTAAGATAGAAAGGGTAGCTTACCTATGAGGTTGGAGCTGAAGGGTATTAGAGATCATGACTCAGAAGTAAAAAGACTCACTTGATTAGAGCAGGAAATGTGTCTATGTGTCAAGAGGCCTGGCTCGGCGTGGGCAGTTGTCAGCCAGCGTGTGTTGCTTTGGATGCCATGGGCAGTGGAGGTTGGAGAGCTCTCCTAGGTCCCTGGCTTTCTTCCTGGGGAAGGATTCAGAAGAGAGGGCCTCTTCTTTCACTTCCCTGTGCATGTCACTGTGTTGTTTCTCACCCCCCAACTTAGGCACACACACCTGAGCTTTGGTTTCAGGCTTTTTAAATGCTATGGTCATTTTGCTTTGGTGGCTTTTCTTGACAGGCAGCATGAGGAGAGGGTCTTTTTTGGCCTGGTGAAAGCTGAGCTTAATTTCTAGGTAGGCTTTAAATTTAAAAAAGTTTCATTTGGCCTGTTTATCCCCTTGAGAATTTCTGTGTTTCTTCTCCTCCACATTGCTCTTCAGCACAACAGGGACAAAGTGACACCGAAGCTGTCCAATGTACCCGTGTTGGGAAGCAGTGCTGGGCCCCTTGCTCAGAATCTCAGAGATGTAGATATGGCACCGACACATGCCTGCCAGAGCAAACCAGAGTTTTCCTCACGTGGGATTCAGGACCCATTTGAGAAGGCAGCCAGCAGGGTGGCTAGACACCTACTTCCACACTGCCCACCCCAGACAGGCCTGCTCCCTTTCCCTTCCTGCCCCTGAGCACAGCCTGAGACATGTTTGACCAGAAATGAATCACTTCAAACGTAAATCAAGATCGGCCTGAAATCCTAATTTAAAATGTTCCATTCCTAGGTGGCACAATCACTTCCTGCCTAAAACTTCTGGCCCACTTCCCACCATGCAGAGGCTGTAAAGAAATTTCCCCCCACTTAACACCAACACCTGCACTCCACATTTCTTCAGGGGACAAAGAAAAAATACGCTTACACAGAGGTCAGCCTACATGTTCATTAAGGAAGAAGAGTGTGGCTTATTCATCTGTGTTTTCAACTTTTGATTGTTGGCATTATGATTACAATTATGAATTAGTGACTGTGACTGGACAGGAATTGGAAAGAACACATGCTGGTGCTCTGAAATGATCTACCCAACTCCATCATCTGTAACAACCAGTGATAACTCTCTTGTCTTGTAAAAAGGGTTTGTACATAACTTGTACATGGTTTCATTTTGTATTTTTCGCAGATTAAAAATTTATGTATTTGTGTTCTAAAATGAGTGTGTCTTGTGTCTCTGTAGCACCCAAATGGCCATGGGGTGATGGGGGTGGGGCTGAAAATGGCAAAATCTGAGTTCCTGGCGGCCTTCTTTGCTTTCTCTGATGAAGGCACAGTTATGGAGTACAGGATCCATGGGCTTGCCTTTCTGGCTTTGGTTGCAAGTAGATCCCCCCCTCCAAGAACACTGCCAGTGGGTGCCAGCCTAAGACCACAATGGTCAGTGGGGGAAAGGGAGAGCCACTGTCATTACATGCAATGCTTGAGAATCCAGCATGCAGGCCTCTGAAGAAATGGGCAGCCTTCAGCTAGGCTGTGGAAAAGCTAGAAGTTTTCTCTGCTCAGCCACCTGCTTCCACTCTAGTTATCCTTTCTCTACATCAGCAGAGTGAAGCAACGTTCCTCTCCCCTCTGTTTAGCTTATCAAAACCCAGGAAATCCTGCTAAAGGTTTGACTCATCCTGCCCCACACTCATCCCAACAGAGTGATAGACAAACTGTATCTCAAGGCAAAACAAAACAAAACAAAACAAAACAAAACAAAAAAACTCTTCAAAATTACTGTTGCCATTTCAGGGTCATAATTTAGATCTTAATCAGAATCCTATGAATTTGAACTCTTTCAGGGAGGCTGGACTCCCAAAGTTAAGGCTGGTATATTCTGGAGGAAAGGAGAAAAGCCTTCCAAGTATAAGTATGTAATGTATATAATACAGTGACATTAATGTATTCTAGAGAGTATCATTGATTCACCAGCCAAGTGTTTACTGAATAGCTATTACATTGACATTCATCTACCAGGACCTGGGGACACAACAGTGAGTAACACCATGACCCCTGTCTCCAATATGGGGAGGAGTGCAACCAACAAATAAACAGGTTATTGTCATGTGTTAAAAACCGATCTATGTGTAAAGTACAGTATGCAGTTGAGAACATGTTAAGAGGCAGTTAGCCATTTGAAGAACAATCTACCAATTGATTGATACTTTCAAAAACAAGCCCCTGTTTCGCCTAAGCCAATACCAACCCAAACTAGAAGAGGGGTCAGCAAAATCAGGTTTACCTGTCAGAATGTGCCAATTCCTGACAGTCCTTGCACTCCAGATTCTCAAGTTGCCTTCTCCAATATTTGCTAACAAATCTGAATGTTGTTGGGGAATGTAATTGCAGAGCATATGGTCCCCATTAGTTAGGCAAACTCCACTGCCAAATTCAGCTCCAAGGAAGGAGTCTGCATAAAGGATGAAGTATTAGCCAAAGATCGACAGTGACAGAGAAAGCAAATAAAGGAGATGAGACACTGAGTTACAAAATAGCAGGCTTGGCATCTGCAGCACAATGAATGTGGAACATATTTTTCTATTTGTTGAGAAAACAATATATGTGAATTTGTGCTAAAATCTCCCTGTAGCAAAAATCAAAGTAGACCATTCACCAGAATCAATGTTAACTGTTTTACAATGTCAGATAAGATAGATTCTGCCTGGGAGAAAAACTGGGGGAAACAGAAGAGATAGTATGCAGAGGAAATAAAGCATGAACAACATCAACATGTAAATATGGGCTTACCACTATTTTAAATGGTAATGGGCCAGGCATTTGAGAGAAGAAACAGTCTGAAAACACAGGCTAAATCTCAGAAATGCAAGGTATCTGGAAGACACAAAGACCTGGAAACAATGGCTGGCCAAGGTGTGAGCGTGGGTGTCCTGGAGCTGAGGGTAGTTTCCCTGTCCAGTGCAGTCTCTGAAACTTGTGGAGGAAGCAGGGCAGTGCCTGTGCCCTAACCCACGCTTTAGCCCAGACTGCTCTGTCCAAGGAGCTCATGTGGGGGCACACCCACTGTCCATCCAGGGCTTTTTGGTTTCAGTCTATTATAATTATCTCACCCATACCTAATTTGACAGATTTTTTAAAAAGCAATTTACCTTAATCTCATCTTTGCAAAAATAATCAACATTGTTTTTGTAGAATCAACAATCTCTTTCTTGCACTTCCATTTCTATTTAATTAAATTACATGCTATAATAACAAGTACAAATGCTTGAACAAGCTTGGGATGGCTGGTACCATCAGGTGGTGAAAGCACAAGGAAGCAGGTGGAGTCAGGAGTAGTCTACAGGGCATTAAAAGTCAGTGCACCATGGAAAGCAGTGAACATGTCCACAGAGGACACAGAGAGAACATCAGCTCAGCAGCTAACTAGTAGTAGGTAATGCTTGATGAAGAGGGCTTCTAAAGGAAATGACTGGAGATATCTACCAATAGGGGGCAAGTTAAGTAAATGTATGCATCCATTCAATGGAGTACTAGGCATCCAGGAAAATGGATGAGGTAGATTTATGTATATTAGGGGTTGACACACTATATCTCATAGGCCAAATGCAGCCTGCTGCCTGTTTTGTAAGTAAAGTTTTGTTGGAACACAGCTATGCCCATTCATTATGTATCATGTATAGCTAATTTCATGCTGTAATATCAGAGATGAGTAATTGCAACAGAGACTATATGACAGGCAAAGCCTAAAATATTTACTGCCTTGCCATTCACAGAGGAAGTTCGCTGACTCCTGGGCTATACTACATACGGGTAGAAAATATAATGTATAGTAGGATCTCATTTCTGTTCAGTGATTAAGTGTATTTATGCACTCATTAAAATTTGGAAGGAAGTATAATCAAGCCATAAACAGTGATTGCCAAGTAAAGGTAGGAGGCAGAGGAGAAAAATTGAGAAACATATGAAGGGCTTGTGCTTTTCAATTTATACATTTCTGTTTAAGTTTATATAGATTAAACACATATAATTTTCATCAGAAAAAGTGCTTAAGATATTTCTTTTCACAAAATGTAAATAAATAAGGCCCCAAGGCCACAAAGGATATAAACAGCTTTACCAGAATGGGAAAGAAGTCCTGCTCACTCTATAGCCCTTCCAGGGCTCTGCATCTCATAGTTTCCTGTTTCCAGGTGTTCTGTACACAGCAGGCAAGCATGTGACATGGGGACATTTTCTCTATGGTCCTGTTTGTTGCAGTTTCTCTACGGTCCTGTTTGTTGCAGTTGTTGAGCTCCGGACCTGTCAGGACAGCAAGCATATGTCTCATAACACCACAGACTGTTCTTCCTGCAGTTGCATACCCAGCACCAACACACCACCCTCTCCACACCACAGGAGGCGCCAGCAGCTCTGAGCTGCCTAACTCTAAGTTCCAAAGCTGTACCTTCCACAGGCCACAATGGGGCATCACCCGCTTTATTCTGTTTTGCAGTCTGTTTTATCAAGGGACCTTTCCGAGAAAGGATGTGCCTCTCAAAAATCTTCATTCATTAACTAAAACAAAACTGAATAAATTAATTAAACTGGATCATGCATACCAGTCACACACATTTAAAAAGCATAAATTAAGTAAACAGTGAAAGTAAGTCTCCTTCCTATTCTGAGTCACACAGCTCTTCTCCTGTGGACAATCATGTCTGATGTTCTTTTACACCCTGCCAGAAATAGGTAACACATATTCAAGTGTGATGGAAGCATAGCATGCTATACGTTTTGAATATACTTTATATGCTTTTTTAAAAGCAATATAATGTTCATATTATTTTATCCATCCATCATCATTTTTCGTAAGGGCTACGTACTATTTCATGTAAAAAGTAATTTATTTAGACTTTCTCCTACCTACTAACATTTAGATTGTTTTCAGTCTTCTTGTATTTTATCCACAGCCTCAGCAAACATCCCGTGCATGTATCTTTGTGCACAGACGTAAGCATAACTCCTGGATAAATTTTCAGAACTGAAATTATTCTGTCACTTTAAAAAACATTTTATTGTGTTTGATACTGCCAAATTATACTCCCAAGAGAGTGTCTTAAATCATAATTCTACCACCTATCAGAATACCCAGCTAAATGTGTTAAATGTGTCATCTGATAAAATGAGAACTCCAGAGCAGAGTTAGGCACAGGGCTGGTTGATGCAGGAATGGGCATATGCCTTGGTTGCAGGTTTGGTCCCTGGTCAGGACACGTATGAGAAGCAACCAATCGATGTTTCTCTCTCACATTGACACTTCTCTCCCTCTCTTTCTCCCTCCCTTCCCTTCCCTTCTCTCTAAAAACAAACAAACAGACAAACAAAAAACTACAGTGACAGAAAGCGTATATGTATTTGCTTGGGGACAGGATGGGGGAGAGGATTGACTGGGATGCAATATGAGGGAAATCTGGGAATGATAGAAATGTTCTATACTTGAATTGTGATGGTTATGAGGTTTTATAAATTTGTCACAATTAATGAAATTAACAGTTAAAATTAGTGTATTTTATGGTATATAAACTATACTTCAATAAAGTTGATTAAGAAAACACAACAAATTATAAACTGACAATAATAGAAACTGTAGTAGTGATGCATAACTTAACAGACTAATTAAAGAAATTGAATAGAGAGACTAGAAATTTTCCCCAAGTATCTGCTAATTTAGAATATGACAAAGACAGTATTTCTTATTAGTGGAGAAAAGGTGGGTGATTCAAATGATAGAAAACAGAGTAGTCATGGGGAGAAAATAAAACTTCATGCCTGTTACAAGTTAAATTTTGTCCCCACAAAAGAAATGTTGCATTCTTAACCCAAACACCTCAGCATGTGACCTTATATGGAAAAGTGTCATTGCAGACATAATTCATTATGAAATCATGCTGGAGTAGAGTGGACCCCTATCCAATATGACTGGTGGCCTTATAAAAAGAAGTAGAGACATAGATCAAGAAGGCCATGTGGTGATGGAGGGAGAGATTGGGATGATGAAACAGATGATGCAAGGAATACTGCAGGTGGTTGGCCACCACCAGAAGCTAGGAAGAGGCAAGAGAGGATTCTCCGGAGTCTTAGAGGGAGGCTGGTCTTTCTGATACCATGATTTAGGACTTCTAGCCTTCAGAACCGTGAGAAA